GCTTCTGGGAACCGGCCTCAGAGTCTTCAAGGGGATTGTTTGTTTGTTTTTGTCATGGCTTTCCTGTTAAGTAGTAGGAAGAAAGATTCCTGAGTGAGGTGATCAGACACTTGAACAGGAGCCCGAAGAAACTGGAATCTCCATGCTCGGAGAAGTTCAAAACATGGCTGGAGATAGGGACCCTGAGCAGTCAGACCTGGCTTTGCGGTTAGATCAGGCTTTGAAGTTGGCTCTGCTTTCAGCAGGGGTTTGGACCAGATGACCTCCTGAAGTTTCTTCCGAACTAAGTTGTTCTCAGAATCTAAAACCGTGTTCTGGGCTATGGTTATAAAGAACTTGTCTGGAGTTATTTTAACATATTGTTAAATAATATCTTCAGAACTTGTCTGGAGATATTATAACGAAGCTTATTTTCCATTTGATTTTTATCGCAGATACCCTAGGAGCTCATCCCAGTCTTCTGGTGTTTCTGTACTGCTCTCCCTCAGCCATTTGGTGTGTTGTGGCAACGTGTTGGCTGCCGGGTGGAAAGTGTCTGTGTGCTGACTGAGAGGTGACAGCCATCAGCCAAATAACTGAGTTACAGGCACTGCTCCCTTAGCTGAGAGGTCTTACGCTCTTTGTCTCCTGGTGCCAAAGAGTTCCTCTTGGCACTTGCTGGAATACGGCAGCTTTAAGACTATTCTGTCGTAACTATTTGGAATTGGCATGTGGGTTCAGAAGTTTGTGGAGAAGATAAGAAGGTGGAGAGCAGGCTCGTGTCCTTGCAGAGGGAGGTCAAACGAGTAGTATGTAGTAACATGGGAGTATTTGGTTTTGTGGAGTAAGCAGGGATTATTTGATAGGCCAGTAAGTGTATTGCAGCGTGGAGGTTTCTCGGAATTGAAGTGTTTCTTGTGGTAATACTGGAGGAGTTGGTGGTAGGTCTGGTGTGTATTCATTAGAGACTGTCGAGTCATTAAATTGTGAAGTACCGATTGGGTTGTGAATATTGATAATGTAATGCTGAAACAGAATAATTATAAATGGTAGTATTGTAAACAGAACGTCATAACGGAACCAAAGGCGCTTCCGTAGAGGTATGGACAGGAAATTCAGAATCACTGCCTTCCAGGATGTCACAGCTCAAGGTCTGTGAGAGATCAAGGGCCAAATAGCCAAACAAACTGAACAAATAACTGAATGACATCACAGTGCAGTGATGTGACAACAAAGGCTATTATCTTTGGCTGAGTAGCAATAGAGAGATGGAGGGAAAATGATGAGATTTGAGAAGTGTTTGATTTTTACCTGTAGGTATAGCACTGGAGTGATCGATGCTGGAATACATCCAGCATGTGTGTGTACTCTTTCTCTTTCTCTCATTTTTATATCTATATATCCAATTATATATATTATTAAATTTTATATATGTATATATGAAAGTGTTTTGAAAAATAAGACTCTGGTGGCAGTGTGATGGGGTTCTTGCTAATTTTCAGAAATATGTTGAATAAATCTTGTCCCTTAACTTTATTTCAGAACAGCCATCACAGCAGCAAATGTTTTCACTGACTGTTCACACCACTGGCACCCAGCTGTAGCCCATTTTTCAATGTAAATATTTACAATTTAAATACAATAAATATATCAGCATTCAAAATTAATCTTAAAACTGTTGCCTGGCTAAAAGCTGGTACCTCCTGCAGGTAGGAAAGGAGTTTGGAATCAATTTCAACATTATTTGACATCATCTTTCAGTGAGGGTGGAACCAAACCAACTCGGTGGAGAAATTGCGTAGATGACTGGGTTGCATAAAATTGCTTAACTTAAGTAATCTGGTATGATTTCTTCTCTCTAGGATTTCAAAACCTACGTGGATCAAGCTTGTAGAGCTGCAGATGAATTTGTCAACATTTATTATGAGACAATGGATAAAAGAAGGAGGGTATGTAGATATTTTGACAGTAGTTAGAACTGTCTTGTGCGTTTTTTGCTTGCTTGTCTAACTAGCATTACACTTGAAAGCACCTGGAATTTGGTTAGCCTGTGTTGTGTTGGCCAAGTGGAGACCTCTGTTCCTCTTAGACTGCCCTGGAGAGGATTTTACGCTGCTGTGCAGCATTGTTGTGAAAGGAGCCTTGTTAGAAACTGCCTTAGACGACTTCATTGTAATAGTTCAGTTCATGTCCAACTATGTTTTGCAGGTACAGGATTTGGTCAGTACAGGCAGATAAAACTTGCTTTATTTGTCTCTGAGGTCAGGATTTAGCTTATTTTTTCCCAACTTCTTTTCTTAGCAGTTATCAGTTCTATTTCTGGGAGTTTTCAGGAGTGCCTGAGGATGAAGTGGAGAGCTCTATCGGGCTCTGAAAGTCTTCATGGACCACGTGGTTGTGGTATCATGTAACAGATATTTGCATCAAAAGAGAGCTGTGAAGACTATTCCTTGGAATGTTAAATGTGTTATAATTGTAATTTAATAACTTTTAGATGTATGAAAATATCAGCAGGTGCATGTTACTTTGCAGTCACTGTGCATGAGCAGGTTAGGCAGATATGTATCAATAGCTTGAGTCAATAGTTAGGCTGTTACTCAGTTGTTAACAGCTTATGAAATGTTGGGAAGTTCTGGTCTGCTGCTGCAGGTCACAGTCCTTTTTAAGTTTCCACTGTTCATGCTCTTGTTCACTTTTTTTTTTTTTCAACTGGAAATTATACTTTCCTGACATAGTCTGTGTTGCGTGCACACACTCCCCAAAAAATTCAGCGATAAACTTATTCTGGAGAGGTAGCACTGTCCTTTTGTTAGCAACTAGTTCAGTTCTATCACTACCTTTGTTAAAGGCATCTCATCAGCATTTAAATTTTGAGATATGTGAGACAGTATGCAACTTATAAAGGAGAATGTGTTTAATTCTTGGTCAGGAGCACTAATTGTTACAAGAAGCTAATATCTCAGGAGGGCATTTTATCTATTGAAGTAAAAGAACAAATCAACAACTCAAAGAGTATTCTTGTGTATGTTGTCCACCATATGTGTTTACACATTTCCCCCAAATATGTGTTTTTATAATCACTCAGGCCTTAACAAGACTTTATTTGGACAAAGCAACGCTAGTTTGGAATGGTAATGCAGTGTCTGGGCAAGAAGAACTGAATAAATTTTTTGAAATGTTGCCATCTAGTGAATTCCAGGTTAATGTGTTGGACTGCCAGCCCGTGCACGGTAAAGTTGTATTACAATTTCCTTATTTTTCTGTCTTTCTATAACTGTTGAAAGAGAACTGCAGTGATAATTCTTTCTTTTGGAACAAGCTTAGAGAAAATATTGAGGGTTGAAATGTCAAGTTGTGCATAAATAAAACACAAATCAAGAACCGCAGCAACTCCACGCTTTCGCTCGCGTCTGGGAAAACATTTTAAGGAGTTCTTTGTTCAGATCGTATTCAGATGTGATGTGTTTTCATGTGTTGAAAAAGTCTGGCTTACCAGGTGATGTTGTCCTTGACAGTGTCTGAGTCGAGTGGCCTCTGATACTGACCTGCAGTGTGATGTGGATCAAGTCATCAACCTACACGTGCTTGTGGAGAAATTTTCCAGCTGCTGCAGCATACTGTGAAAGTTTCTCCGCACGTGCTTTGGTTTCTTTGCATCTAGAATAGGTGTTAAGTTTTTCAGATTTCTGATTAACAGCTGCTGAAGAAGGGCTTACGTAATTGGGGCATTAATAAATTACTTCTAGTGGGTATTTTGAGAGTATAAGTAAGGAAAAAGCTCGCGGTCAAGCGTGCTTGCTTTGCTCTGCTGTGAAAAAGATACAGTCTCTAACAGCAGGGAAAAAACTGTGCAACTTGCAACATAAATGTATATCTCAGATAATTTCTAAGCAAAAACTTGTGCTCTAAAATGAACAACATGAGATGAAAGTAGAAAAGCCATTAAAAGGCAGCGTTGGTGAGCGCATACACCATTGTCTGTACAGAAATGATGCCACAAAGCTGTACTTTTCATGAACATGTAACCAATTGTTAGCCTATAACTAGTGTAACCAGAATCAAGTGCAACTTCTACATACGTTTCCTGCTTCTTTACCTGTTGGTCTTTCTTTGAGTTGTTTGCTTCATGCTTTTTCTCCTTGTGAAGAGCAAGCTACTCAAGGCCAGACGACAGTCCTCGTGGTGACGAGTGGGACAGTAAAATTCGACGGCGACAAGCAGCGCTACTTCAATCAGAACTTCCTGCTAGACAACAAAAGCCACACCGACCAACACAGTGTGGAAGATTGCCAGTGACTGTTTCCGCTTCCAGGACTGGGCCAGTTAGGGAGGACTGGCTACGGAAGTGACCTCTCTCATTCGTCACGTTGACGCCAGCTGTACGGACAGCCATTCTCCACGCATGGGAAA